TTGTTCTTTATTATATATTTTTTAATTTGTGTTTCTTCACAATTGGCCTGGCATAGCTAGGTGGTTAGGGCACTCTACTCGCAATCTGTGGGTCGCGGATTCGAATCCCCGTTGTTTCTTCACAATTGGCCTGGCATAGCTAGGTGGTTAGGGCACTCTACTCGCAATCTGTGGGTCGCGGATTCGAATTCCCGTTGTTTCTTCACAATTGGCCTGACATAGCTAGGTGGTTAGGGCACTCTACTCGCAATCTGTGGGTCGCGGATTCGAATCCCCGTTGTTTCTTCACAATTGGCCTGGCATAGCTAGGTGGTTAGGGCACTCTACTCGCAATCTGTGAGTCGCGGATTCGAATTCCCGTTGTTTCTTCACAATTGGCCTGGCATAGCTAGGTGGTTAGGGCACTCTACTCGCAATCTGTGGGTCGCGGATTCGAATCCCCGTCACACCAAACATGCTCCACCTTTCAGCCGTGGAGGCGTTATAATGTGACGGTCAATCCCACTATTCGTTGGTAAAAGAGTAGCCCAAGAGTTGGCGGTGGGTGGTGATGACTAGCTGCCTTCCCTCTAGTCTTACACTGATAAATTAAGGACGGCTAGCGTAGATAGCCCTCGTATAGCTTTGCGTGAAATTCAAAACAATCAATCAATTATTCATCATCTGTTGATTTTAACAATATCTGCGATTAGAATTTGTTCATAAAATATGGATAGATCTTTTATTTTATATTTTAGCTTCATGGAATCACGACTGTAATCAGCCTGGGAACGTTATTTAACCGTCATTTGCCCAAAATAACTCGGGTGCCCTATATGTTTCAAAACATATTTGTCCGAGTTGATTTAGTCAAACCATTTCTTTCCGTGTTTTTAATTATTTGCCCGAATTTCTTCTCGTGTATTACAGTCAGTGCTCACTAGATGGCATTGGAAATCCAGATATGTAATATTTGTTTATCAAGTATATTTGTACAAACATAAGAGGTTAAAAATAATGCAGTGAAGGCAATACAGCTATTTTTCAAACGAAATTTGCTGGCGAGGACGTTGGGGGACTTACATTAAAAGGATTAACTTTACAATCCTTCATAAAGCAAACTTGACTGACGTTTAGTGTAGATCTGTACCAATAGCGACATGTACAAGTGTCTTTCATTTTCACTCGCTTATTGATATAAGTGTACGACCCTGAATGCAGGGCGGTTCCTACCAGCTGTATGGCACAGTGTCGAACGCTGACTTCATAGAGAGAAGCAGCTGTTATAGGAGGAACAATGGATGGCCACGTGTTATCCGTCTTCAAGCACTGGGAGATATTCCCTTCCCCCCTTTTCAACCCTGTAGACTGGTATGTCTGGTACAGGCCGCTGGTGGGACCATCCGTCTTGTACTTGTAGTAGTAGTAGTAGTAGCGCGACTTGCCCTTAATTAACGCCAGATTTTTCTTCATGCCCCAGCGATTTGTCCCTCGCCTTCATGTGACAGGCGTCTTTCAAGTAGTCCGAAGTAAGGTTTGCCCATCGGAAAGGCGTGCAGTACATGTAACGGTACCATCAGTGAATCAGATGATGATTTTAGAGAAATTTGTTTGTTTGTTATGGATTTCGCGCAAAGCTACACGAGTGCTGTCTGCGCTATCCATCCCTAATTTAGCAGTGTAAGACTAGAGGGAAGGCAGCTAGTCATCAGCACCCACCGCCAACTATTGGGCTACTCTTATAACGTTATAACGCCCCCACGGCTGAAAGGACGAGCATGTTTGGTGTGACGAGGATACGAACCCGCGACCCGCAGATTACGAGTCGAGCGCCCTAACTACCAGGCCATGCGTGGCTTATTTTAGAGAATAAACTGTTTTTCAGAGGGTTGATAGTTCACGTGGTATATCTGATTGAAACTTTTATGATAAATTTTAAATCAACGTTTTGGACTCAATGCAATGTACTGCCTCGTTTTACAGACTCCTATTTTAATTCAAAGGGAATTTTAGGCAGAATATGTTGTACTGGATATTAAGTTTTTATGGATTGCATCTGGCTGGACTTTCAGAGTGGGCATTTCGTTCTGTATGCTGAGGCTTTTATCAACACAGAGAGCGAAACGTCGCCCACTCCAAATGATATGCTCCATAAAAACTAACGATACTGTATGCCTTATTATTATATAACTGTGCTCCATAAAAACTAACGATACTGTATG